AGGAGCGCAGATCCAGTCTGGTTGATACTTTTTAAATTTGTAATCTGCCCCGATTTGTCAGAACACAATTTACTTTGCACCCAGCCATCTACACTCGACACCACTCACTTTCGTGTGTTGTGACAAAATTTTTTGGAATTTCTTTTTTCTATATACACAGGTCGGTTTTTCCTGGGAGTGTAAATCTGGCCCGGATCTTAAGCATTCAACATAGATTGCGGGGATACGTTTTGAGCCAAAAAATAAAACAGGCACGGGGACGAGAAATGGTTAAAGGTGGGCGCAGGGTCATCTTTGCTTTTGTGGAGTGTTTTTGCCGCCCCCCAAACCAAATTTTTTCGGGGGTTTCCAAAAAAGGCGGGGCGGGATTTTTTTCCAATTCTTTTTCTCGGGGGGGGGGGGGGGGGGGGGGGGTTATTTTGGCAATAACACCATTTCTATCAGCGACTGACTTGTTCCTTAATTTTCTGTTCATTATACAACATCAATGAATATTGAGAAATTCCATTCGTCATTTAGACGCCAACTACACAATGAAAATATCCTAACTTTAGTTATTGAACCACAAACACTGAATCAAGTTTTTTTTTTTAAATTACCCTATAAATGCTTTACAACCTAATACCACATTTACATCAATCTCGAACACAAATTCTAAAATGTGCCTCATCGAATCAAATTTTTCACTTTTAGATGTTCTCAGCCAGCCTTTTAGGAGAAATGTTCAGTATTCAATACTGATGTAGGAGAAATGTTCAGTTTTCAATACTGATGTAGGAGAAATATTCAGTTTTCAATACTGATGTAGGAGAAATATTCAGTTTTCAATACTGATGTAGGAGAAATGTTCTGTTTTCAATACTGATGTAGGAGAAATGTTCTGTTTTCAATACTGATGACATAAGAGAAATATTCAGTTTTCAATACTGATGTAGGAGAAATGTTCAGTTTTCAATACTGATGACATAAGAGAAATATTCAGTTTTCAATACTGATGTAGGAGAAATGTTCAGTATTCAATACTGATGTAGGAGAAATGTTCAGTTTTCAATACTGATGTAGGAGAAATGTTCAGTATTCAATACTGATGTAGGAGAAATGTTCAGTATTCAATACTGATGTAGGAGAAATGTTCAGTTTTCAATACTGATGTAGGAGAAATGTTCAGTTTTCAATACTGATGTAGGAGAAATATTCAGTTTTCAATACTGATGTAGGAGAAATGTTCAGTATTCAATACTGATGTAGGAGAAATATTCAGTTTTCAATACTGATGTAGGAGAAATGTTCAGTATTCAATACTGATGTAGGAGAAATATTCAGTTTTCAATACTGATGTAGGAGAAATGTTCAGTATTCAATACTGATGTAGGAGAAATATTCAGTTTTCAATACTGATGTAGGAGAAATGTTCAGTATTCAATACTGATGTAGGAGAAATGTTCAGTATTCAATACTGATGTAGGAGAAATGTTCAGTATTCAATACTGATGTAGGAGAAATGTTCAGTTTTCAATACTGATGTAGGAGAAATGTTCAGTATTCAATACTGATGTAGGAGAAATGTTCAGTATTCAATACTGATGTAGGAGAAATATTCAGTATTCAATACTGATGTAGGAGAAATGTTCAGTTTTCAATACTGATGTAGGAGAAATGTTCAGTATTCAATACTGATGTAGGAGAAATGTTCAGTATTCAATACTGATGTAGGAGAAATATTCAGTTTTCAATACTGATGTAGGAGAAATGTTCAGTATTCAATACTGATGTAGGAGAAATATTTAGTTTTCAATACTGATGTAGGAGAAATGTTCAGTATTCAATACTGATGACATAAGAGAAATATTCAGTTTTCAATACTGATGTAGGAGAAATGTTCAGTATTCAATACTGATGTAGGAGAAATGTTCAGTTTTCAATACTGATGTAAGAGAAATATTCAGTTTTCAATACTGATGTAGGAGAAATGTTCAGTATTCAATACTGATGTAGGAGAAATGTTCAGTTTTCAATACTGATGTAGGAGAAATGTTCAGTATTCAATACTGATGTAGGAGAAATGTTCAGTTTTCAATACTGATGTAGGAGAAATGTTCAGTATTCAATACTGATGTAGGAGAAATATTCAGTTTTCAATACTGATGTAGGAGAAATGTTCAGTATTCAATACTGATGTAGGAGAAATATTCAGTTTTCAATACTGATGTAGGAGAAATGTTCAGTTTTCAATACTGATGTAGGAGAAATGTTCAGTATTCAATACTGATGTAGGAGAAATGTTCAGTATTCAATACTGATGTAGGAGAAATGTTCAGTATTCAATACTGATGTAGGAGAAATATTCAGTTTTCAATACTGATGTAGGAGAAATGTTCAGTATTCAATACTGATGTAGGAGAAATGTTCAGTTTTCAATACTGATGTAGGAGAAATATTCAGTTTTCAATACTGATGTAGGAGAAATGTTCAGTATTCAATACTGATGTAGGAGAAATGTTCAGTATTCAATACTGATGTAGGAGAAATGTTCAGTTTTCAATACTGATGTAGGAGAAATATTCAGTTTTCAATACTGATGTAGGAGAAATGTTCAGTATTCAATACTGATGTAGGAGAAATGTTCAGTATTCAATACTGATGTAGGAGAAATGTTCAGTATTCAATACTGATGGCTGTAACAGCCATTCAAAGCAGGTAGGCCTAAAATAACAAAGAATTTCGGACAGAACGTACCCTTTCCCTGGATGCCAGCTTCTTAGCCCACGTGCTCTCCGACCATTTCTTTGTCACGTCAGCCTTCTCCCATGCCTTCCTTACAGGTCCGGAGCGAGCAGATGGACCAATCTTAATGGTGAAGGGGGTCAGGTGGAGGGCCTTGAAGTTCATGTCTTTACGGTTGACACCAGAGCAGGGTCCATCGACCAAAGCCTAGAACAAGAAAAGAAGACCAAAAATACAACGGCCGTCGGAAGCTGTCAAGAGATGAAATCAAAACAAAAGCAAAGTGTGTACATCTATGAACAAGCCACCCTCCAAAACTAAATAAGTAAACAAGGGAACTTTGGTACTCAAAAACCTCCCACTGCCATTTATGCAGGAAAAGGATTCGTTAGCGCGGTTATGGGTGGCTGGATAGTGGTGCTCTCCGCGTCTAAAAATAGCCTTGTACGATAATTATAAGAAACACCCAAAATCTTGGTCTTCATAATTCTAATTTGCATCAGATTACCATGGGTCTCAACTCATAATTTTTAAAAAGGAGGAACTTTCCGCGTGACCGCGACAGAAGCCCATTTTGGCGAGACACCCACTATTATTACTGTTGGACCCTAGAATGTTGAAATAAAAACCATCAATTTATCAAAGCAAGGTTATTTCATACCAGTTTGAGGGTTTGGAAGATAATTTCAAGTGAGAGTCACTTACCAAATATTTACAATCTTGATTACATACAGAAAGTGGAGGCGCACTGTGGTCTTGTGCGACTTAATATTTTACCTTCATCATATTCGCCTGCATATATAAACTATATATAAATGAATCTTGTTTTGAGCCTGGGAAAAGGCCCAGACCCAGAATATCGACTGTTATGAACCAGTCTGGGTGTAATGATTCATATAATAAACATGAAAGACAAAATTAATGCTCAAACTGAAAGTAGAGTTATAACTTGAAAAGCTCAAGTAAACCTATTCAGTGTGAGAGGTGTAAGAACTGTGGGAGGGCGACATGCAGTGACACTGAAAATCTGCGAATAAATATAGAGACATAATTTACTGTCACCCATCCAATGAAATGCGAACACTTAGGCCCCTGCCATAAATTCATTAACACGCTTACAAGTAGTTATGGCGGATCCCGATTATACACAAGGCATGCAATAACGCGCACTTTGCAGAGAGCTGTAGTGGTAATCAAAATTCTAAACATTAAAATTTGCTTCCAATTTCTTTTCTTTTTTTGTCCTCTGGTGTTGCGTCCAGCCCTCCCCCCATCCCCGAGTGTATCTTTTTAAAAAAATCAATAATCTCCCCCCATTCCTGAGTCCTGTACTTCACAGCGCTCAGAACGAGTGCAGGTTCATTGACCGGTCACAATGACGAGCCTGACAAGACGCTTGTATAACTTTATTTGATTTTTTTATTTTGGCCCCCACAAACGACAGCACAGTGACGAACATTATTTTCATGGCGACACCACGTTTGTAGTGCAGAACCTGCATGTTACAAATGTTGCTTATTCAGACTTTTACAGACAAATTTCAGAGATCTTGATTTTCCAGTCCAGCCTCGGTGTCACATACAATTCCACTTCCCGCCATAGCCGCCTGTTCGCGTGAAACGTACTCTCACATCGGGAAAAGCCAAATTAATATCACAATCGTGACCGGCAAAAATGAACTTAAAGAAACGTTATCGGATTTGGTTTTCAAATAATATTCGAGATCTTTTATGTATTTTCCTGCGTCTCTGCGATTTTTTTCAAATTCCCGAGGCCTGGCAGTCACTCTGCTCCCAGCAACCTTCTGATTGACCCGCTGTCGCGGTAGCGGAGTTGAGCGGAGGAAGAGGCAGTAGCGGAAATCCACTAAATAGCGGACTATTGAGACCCATGGATTACACAGTAACCTCTTCTTCTTTGCATTCTCCCGCTAGACTTCGGGGCTAGTTGACTGCTGGTTTCTTCAAGAGAAAGTGGCGATGGAAGCAGGTGACAGAACTGGACTACAGAAAAGGAAAGGAAAGGATCTTTTAGACAAGAAATCTTGGTGTCACTGTCAGAATTCAAACTCTGGACCTATCAAAAGAGAGGCAAACACCATACCTCTAGACCACTAGAGACCCCACAGAGAATGAAAACAACACGCTGAGGTCAAAGAGTTAGACCTAACAAGTTGCATATCTTTTCTATTTTATTGATTTCAAACCTTGACACAGATTCATAGTTTCTCCAAGACTTACTCTGCTTTGGTCAATGACATCGACAATGACAACCAGCTTGCCCTTGTCGTCTCCATGGGCCACAAAGGCCACTCTGCCAACCTCTACAAATCTCTGGTAGGGCTGAAAATAAACAAATTAACAGATGGAAAATACAGTTATGTATTTAGATATATCACTGCGCAAAATGATTTATAGCACGGGAGGACTTCCATAACGAGCGACCACTATGAGACAGAGTAGAACAGAAGGGTAGGGGGTGAGTTTAGAGGTTTAGGTTAGGTCTCTTCTTTATTGTGTTTGTTGGGGTGGTCGCTCGTTACGAAAGTCCTTCCTATAGCAAATCTTTATAAAATGTTAGGTAAATTTTTACATAAAATGAGCCATTGCCAAAACATGGGGAAAAACACACACATCTCATATTAGTGTGCATAAAATGTGATGCATTAGTATTTATTCCTCCAAAACGTATACACACGTCAAATATAGGATGTAGAACCTGCATTAGCAGTTTCAGACCCCTTGTCAGCTTTACAATCTTGAGTTTGTAAATTTTGTGCCAAAAATGTTCGTTTTTTTAGTGATTCCTGGAGTGTCATTTTGAGCACACCAATGCAAACTTCCAAGAATGTCCAAAATTTAGTATTTTTGGGTGTGGTTTTTTTTATGTGTGCTTTGATCCTATGTCATTTGTCATTGAGAAAGGTTAACTTGCTCAAGAAATCGGTTTATTTGTTTGCAGATAGACGAACAATTCTGATTACTTGTGCGTCTGTCGTGTCGTCACGGACTAGGTGTTTCAGAAAACACCATTATTTTTCAGTAGAATCACCATAGCTGGTTGAATCTCTTTGCCTATTGTCGTTTATTCAATACTTCAAAAGCCGCGATGCGCGAAAGGAACATCGGGTTCCTAGATCTACGATTTCGGTCGGCTGTTTAACATTCGCCGTTATTGTCGTCAACTTGCGACGTGCCGGAAGTCCGAATTTCGCCTACTTTTGTTTTGAACGGGTCATCAAAAGTGCCCGGATATAATTGTTTTCTTGAGTGACTTCTCCTTACTCGCATCCCCAGAACAACGGGGGAAACAGAAAAACAAAAGTAGTCATTGCCTTCAGCGTCCGGTGACGCACAAGAATCTTGCATTGAATGTGACGTACTGGGCTGTTTTGCGTGTTTTTAGGCTACTCTATTGAATATTTTAGTGAAATTGCGGTGTTTACACTGGATTCCTGGAACAAGAGTGTGATGTGTGAACAAACTTCGAGAGATGGATCATATCTGTGGTTATAGATTTAGCTTTTGTGCTCAGTGATGACGTTTGGGGTGTCGTCATGCAGCCGTACAAGACTGACGAACGTACAAGAAATTACATTGTCCTAAGAGCAAACATTTTTAAAGTAATGTGTGCTCTCTTTACTCAAACAAATAAACAAACATGCCCTTGTTTATCTGTCTAACTCAAAAATACACATTTGTTCTTTGTTGGTATGATATACCTTTTTCCAATACATTGTGTCATCATTGTTATGTACAAGTAATATTTTTCATAATTGCTAATATCAATAAGTTTTCAACATATATTTCATACATGCAAGATTCATTTAGAAGCAAAATACGTCTTTATTGATCTGTGTATCTCTTAGTGCAAATTTGTTCTTTGTAGGCATGATTTTACCTTTTCCCAGTATGTTTTGTCATCACTGTTATGTACGAGTACTGTTTGTCATAATTAGCCACATAATTGTGATCGTCAACTGTCTTTGATATGCCCTGGTATCTGTTTCAAAGCAAAAGAAACCTCTCCTGGTTTTTTTTATATTCTTAAAGTGCGCTTTTATCTCTGGAGGCAAGACTTTTGTCTTTTCCTGTACATTGTGTCATCATTGTTATGTACAAGTCATGTTTGTCATCACTGTTATGTACGGGTCAGCTCCATTGATTTTGTGCTTTTGCCTCATATTAGTTAAAAAATTGTTTTACACATGTGTTTTTCTGGTACTGAGGCTTTGATAACTGTATCTGTACAGCCTTTCACTATTGTGATGTGTTGTCAATGATAATGTCCAATGTGTATCCTTTCTTGTACATAACAATGATGACATGTTCTGTGCACTGCGTCATTGTTACAAAGCTTGCCATTCATATTACCATTATGAATGGAGTTCATAGTGTACAAAGTCTTTGTTTACTAAACAAATGGAATTTAAAGTCTATAATTTGCCTTGCTGCTTATCTGTTTTTGTCATCACTGTTACATACAAGAAATGCAGTAGTTGCCAAACCAATAGACCCATATCTCCAAAACCGTACATCTCCTTGCTCTGATACTCTAGGAATATGAGCACTAAATGTCAATCTGTGACCGACAGAAAAGAGAGTCAAATTGGTAAGAAAAATTTTTGTGCACCACTGAGTCTCAAGAGTCTCACGTTTTGGCAATTGCTCTTCTGCACCCACACACAGATGCACTGATTTGAGGGCTAAACTGCCACAATTTTTGCTGCAGAACAAACGTACGGCCACTAAAACCCTTGCCAATCTATTGTTTTCTAGTAAATATCGGTACTACTTAAGAATCTGGGTCCTGTTTGGGGATAGTTTTACCCCACCGACGATTACTTCTGGTTCTAAATGATTACTTTTGATGAGTGTGCCGATATGGAGAGACAGCCTATCAAACCTAGGCTAACTGCAAAACATCAAATTATGTTCAAATTCAGGGGGGCATGCCCCCCTGACCCCCCCTCTCCAAGTTTTTGTTTGCCCCCCTGAAACCCCCCTTCCCTTGTTATTAACTAGTGAATTTTTAATGCTCATTTTGTAGGCTGGATCTAGATATAGATCTACTGATACTGATAGAACATAGATACCGAATATTTTTGTCGGTATCAATATCCAGTACTCTGTGTGCACGATGCCTAGTCTAAACTGACGGGACCCAGATTTTTAAGTTGTACCTAAATATCAATCCTAATACAGTAGTCTCCGCCTAAGATCCCGGTGCTCGGGAGCATGGAAATGCGGGATCTTAGGCGAACCGGGATCTTAACCGATGAACCCAGGGAAGAATCTATGGTGACCCATGCTAAGGCTCACAGTCGGTAAAATGGTCTCCCTCCTCTCTACAATGAACTGACGTGACCCCTTGGTGGGTTTATGACGTATGGCGAGCAAATAGTGGTTAACCGTGACGACCTATCACGGTGCATAGTGGCATGAGGCGTGCCATTTTCACTTATTATCCTATCATGAGTCTCAAGATCTACGCCTATCCAGTTGCCCATCCTCTTTACCTGTAAAAAAGGAAAGCTTTCCATCTCTGACAGAGTCCCCCCCCCCCCCAACCGCCTTTGTCGTTACACACCATTACGTTGTGAACCCACCAATTAAAATTCAGTCTGTCTCGCAAATTCGGGAGTACAGACAACTGCTGCAGTGATCAAGGAAGAGTTCACGGTTCGATGTGACCCTGCCTGGAGTGAACGTGTAGGCCCTACCCACCCAGCAAGTGATGCAAGCTTAGGTGGCGAGCTCAGGTGTGAGTGCGATGCGTGGGGAAAACAAACGCGTCTGTCAGTTCACACCCCCGTGTGATCCCGTCTGGGGCAAACATTGCATCGCTTCATCGAGTTTTACAACGTGTTTGTGATCACATTCACGATAGTGGTTGATCTTTGACGAGACGGACAGTTTATTGATCTCAACTTTTCACTCTATGTTGATCGGCTGTGCCCTCCCGGGTTTTTGTTTTACCAATTATGATCTGAAATGCGGGATCTTAGCCGAATGTAGACCATCAGAGCGGGATCTTAGGGGTGACTTTTGTATAGTAAAAATTCTGTTTTCCTAAGACAACGGGATCTTAAGCGAACCGGGATCGTAAGCGGTGGGATCTTAGGTCTTAGGCGGAGACTTCTGTATTGCCAAAACATCAAATCATTGTAAAATGCAGAGGGGCATGCCCCCCTGAACCCCCCCCCCCCCCCCCGATTCTTTTTAGGTCAGGGGGGCATGCCCCTTGAACCCCCCATGCCATGCTGTTAGAAACAAATATTGCTACGCCACTGGTCCTAGTTCAGTTTTGGCTCCCTTTCAGTTTTCAAACATCAATTATCAATAACTCAATAATATGAAGGCCATATTCATGTTCAGCATGCAAAATACTATTAGAAAACGAAGAGCCATTAGAAAAACAGTGTACAAAACGTGTAGCCTACATGAGAAATTTGGTCACAAATTGTATCCCAGCAAATTCTCCCCACCCCACCCCCAAATTGAAATAGCCTAGATCTAGAATCTAGATGACATTCGTGAGTGAAAATGAAAACAGAACTTGTAATTCCATTTTCTGTTGTCTGCGCTAGCTCACAGTACACTCATTGAAGGATCTAGAACTTAGCTAGATCTAAATCTAGATCTAGTCTCAGAAACTTCACAAACACTTTCCCCCGCCATGATGGCCAAATTAACTTTGGTGGACCCACCGTGTTTACATACATTATGATACATGTAGGCTATTAAAGTGCACCAGATCTAGCCATGCCATAACAACAGTGGGGGGTGTCAAGGGCCCCCGGCAACAAATAATTTTTAAAAACACAAAAAAATACAAAACGAGCAGACCATTTTTATGGCATTGCACAGCAGAGCACAAAAGTCAGCTTCATTCAGTGCTGGGTCCACCAAAGTTCAAACTCACATCCATTTCTAAAGGGAATTAATTTGGGGAGTACGGAGGAAAGACTAGATATCTAGAAATCTAGATCTAGATCGCCGGGGTATAGATCTGGCCCGGGGCACATTTGGGGTACAGAACTGGGACTTAAAGTACACAAAATAAGAGTGGTTTATTAGCTCTAAACAAGATCCCGATTCGGGTCTATCGAAAATTGGGGCACGTGTCCTGTACACTTTCAAGACAAACAAGAATTGATAGTTTCTGAGATAATTGAAATATTTCTGGTTTCCAAAGATAACACTGCGACAGAAACTGAGGGTACAAAATAACAGAGCGAAAATTTTAGCAAGAATTCACAAAATTTAGAAACAAGTTAGGAGCACATTTGGTCCCATGCCTCACCATCTTGGGAAACACAGCGTAAAAGGAAGTGCAGGGGAAAGAAGCAACTGTGGTATGATGGGAAATGACACAGATCTGGCTCCGTACATGACCTCTGTGAACCAGTGCTTGAACTGAACTGAGGACAAAGATGCGATGCTCTGAAGTTGTCTGCTTGCAAGATTATTATAGCCTATTATCAAAGGCTAGTCCTTATTTTTATAAGATAGAAGGGCAAACTGGAAGATTACGATGATATACAAGTATATATGCATGCATATATATATACATACATATATATATATATATATATATATATCAATATATAAATATATATCAATATATAAATATATAT